ACCCCAGCGCCTATTTGGGCCTTTCGACCCAATAACTTTCTGCTGGGGAACGATTGAGGGCACGGCCTCCCACTGGGGCTCTCAGACCGACAAAATCGGCTGGCCATGAGCCAGCGCGTCCCGCTTCAGCTCCGAAATTCGAAGCGCCCCACCGTGGCGCATCGGACAGGCGCAAAACGCCGATGTGTCTGTGTGTGTGTGTGTGCGGAGTAGTGGCAGAATACCCTGCCACCAATCTTTTCTTCGTCAACAGGGGGACCATCCATTTGCTGTGTGCGATGGTCCAACGAAGCGGCCACAGCAAATGCGGATATCGAGGCTGATCACCTCGACGTACCTGCGCATCTCGTGTGATTCAAAGTCCTTTTGGCCCGTTTCTCTCGCTGTGTGTGCTTCATGTCGAATTTGTAAACGTTTTCGCTGCTAGACGGAAACCAAGTGAACGCAAGCCGAACCTACACCCACTCGAGACTCATCGGTTGCACTCGAGACTCAGCAGTTGTACTCGAACGATTAGCATCCTCCCTTGGGAGTTGAAGTGTGATCACCCCATCTTGGGGGAACCTCGGGTGCACCCATCGTGTGACCCCGGGCCGGTTCGCCGGAAAATTTGACCTCAACGTTCTTATCACAGTCCAGCTGAACTTCACGTTTAATCAGGAACGAGGTTTCACTAAAGGGAAGACAGCCACCAGATCATAGCTACGTCTCACCCTCCCTCCTCGCCTTCGTCGTCCGCGCGTCCGTCGACTGGCCCATCGCCCGTTTAGGGATGCCTTCTTCTTCCTCCCGGTCTCTACTTTCTGGTTTTCGTGACCCGCGTGTTTGTCTTCCTTCTCTTCGCCCGCTTAGGGATGGCTTGCTTGTCCTTGCGGCGTTCACCTTTTTCCTCTTCGTTGTCTTCTTGTCTGTCTACCTGTTCCTACTCCTCGTTTTCCTCGCGCAGTTTGGCTTGCCGTCTTCTTCCCCTTCCGTTGCTATTTCGCGTTCGTCCTCTTGGCCCCGTTGCGGGATTCGACGCCCTCCTCTTCGAGCCTCGGTCTTCATCCTCTGTGCTGACCCGCGCAGGATGCGACGCCCTAAAAACGCTTACTACAACCTCTCTTTCCTTTTTCCCCTTTCCCTCCCCCTCTCCCTTCCTCCCTCTTCTCTCTTTCCTCCTTTTCCCCGGGCGGGCTGCGGCGCCCTAAATACGCATCTCGTTCCCCTTTGTCTTCCTTTTCCCTTTCTCTCTCTCTCTCTCTCTCTCTCTCTCTCTCTCTCTCTCTCTCTTTCTTTCTCTCTTTCTCTCTTCCTTTCTTTCGTTTCCCCCCCCCCTTTTTCCAACTACTTCCTGTTGTTCCTCTTCGCCCGTTTAGGGATGGCCTGGTCCTCTTCTCGGTCTTCAACTTTGCGGTGGTGGTCGTCGGGTTTCTGGGCTGTTTGGGGTTTTTGATATCGGCGGTGACCCTAAAACTCGGGTTCCCCTGTTTTTCGTGTTTCTTGGTTGGGGTTTTGCCCGCGGAGACCCAACGTGGGGCTTTCTGTTTCTTTTGGGTTCTTGCTCCGTTTGTTTCCTGTTGGGGTCTTCGTCCGTCTTTCGGGCGCTTCTTCTCCCCCCCTGAAAAAGGGTTTTTGGTTGACTCCAGGAAGTTGCGGACTTGGTCTTCCGGATGCAAAAGGTGTACGCCCCTCTTGGAGGGGCGTGTGGGTGCGGAGTGGCAGAATACCCTGCCACCAACCTTTTCTTCGTCAACAGGGGGACCATCCATTTGATGTGTGCGATGGTCCAACGAAGCGGCCACAGCAAATGCGGATATCGAGGCTGATCACCTCGACGTACCTGCGCATCTCGTGTGATTCAAAGTCCTTTTGGCCCGTTGTTTCTCTCGCTGTGTGTGCGTCATGTTGAATTTGTAACGTTTTCGCTGCTAGACGGAAACCAAGTGAATGCAAGCCGAACCTACACCCACTCGAGACTCATCGGTTGTACTCGAGACTCATCAATTGTACTCGAACGATTAGCATCCTCCCTTGGGAGTTGAAGTGTGTCTGTCTGTGTCCGTTTTTGGGAAGGAAGTGTCCAAACAACGGAAAGAAACCCAACCACAAGCACATACAGGAACGTCGCAAAAAAAGAAAGGGACACACTGCCAACGGCACCCCGAGCATCCGCTGACCCCGGGGTCTACCTCACAAGCCACTACCAACAGCAGCCCGAGTATCCGCAGACCCCGGGGTCTACCTCAGAGACCAAAATACAGGAAAGTCCCCCCCCAATAAAAGAAACACTACCAAAGGCAGCCCGAGTATCCGCAGACCCAAGGGCTACCTCACAAACCAACATACAAGACAGTCCCCCCGAACACAAAAACAAAGAAGCCAGCAGTGGTCCGAGTATCCGCAGAGTTCGGGGTCTACCTCACACACCGACATACAAACGGTCCCCCAAAAACACAAAAGAAACTCTACCAAACGCAGCCCGAGTATCCGCAGACCCCAAGGGCTACCTCACAATCCAACATGCAAGACAGTCCCCCCGAACACAAAAACACTGAAGCCAGCAGTGGTGGCCCGAGTATCCGCAGAGTTCGGGGTCTACCTCACACACCGACATACAGACGGTCCCCCAAAAACACAACAGAAACACTACCAAGGGCAGCCCGAGTATCCGCAGACCCCGGGATCTACCTCAAACACCAACATGCAGGAACGTCGAGAAAAAAAACAGATACGAGTGTACAGGCAAGTCCCCCAACAAAAAAAAGAACCAATACCAAAAGGCAGCCCGAATATCCGCAGACCCCGCAGTCTGCCTCAGAGGCCGACATACCGGAAAGTCCAAAAAAAGGCAAAGGAACGCTGCCGAAAAAGGAAACAAGAGCCTACCAAAGCCGGCCAAAGCATCCACAGACCCCGGGGTCTACCTCAAAGGCCAACATACAGGACAGTGACCCCGCGGGGGCGGCGGCACCGGGCGGCAGCCCTTAAATTGTTGGTTCCAACTTGCGCAAACTTTTGGGCCCCCCAACTCCGGCTCTCTGGCCATCGCTCGCAGATCGCGAGGTCGCGATTTGGTCAGTTCGATGGAGGCGGTCGGATCTTCTTCGTTGAGCACCGTGGGATTGGTTTACTTTGCTCTGTCTATTTTTAGTGGGCAGATATTGTGGACAATTGTTGCTAACATACGAAATGTTGTAGAGGTTACCACGAAATGTTGTAGAGGTTACCAACGAACAAGACAAATAGCAACAAACACAACAATAAACACAACCAACAAACAGAAACAACGACACCGAACAACAGGCACAAACACATGTGGATTTAGATAAGCCTTTGCTAAAGGCGCCCTGTGCAAAGGGTGGATCCCCTTAGCTCATGGTCGCTCGAACCGAATTAACACGGTGACAGTTGGCCATGTGTGTACCTTGCTAATTGGCACCCGCGTGATCTTTGGGCTGTGACGTTTGGCTGCACGGCTAAGAACCTCAGTGCTAGTCACGGGTCAACGTCTCCTGAGCTGCGTTCTCTTCTCTTTTGCATAAAAACACGGCACTGCAACAACCAGTCCTGACGAACCGTGACGCTACAGCTTTACTCGCCTCAAGCTAACTCATGTCTTGATCACGGGAAAACGTTAAAATATATGTGCGTGTCAAAATAAGGACTTGGGCCCAAAATACGCAGTGTCCTTTTGGTTTCCCTTTAAAGCCACCCCAAGAAGGCTACCTTTCAACTCACCCAATATGTTTATGTCTGTCATCCCAACTGCGCAGCCAGTGCCTGGAGCAAAAGCGGCCGAAACACAAGAAGCTCAATGTACCTTCGGGGTCGTTGCACCCCAGAGGTGATGAAAAATGGTTCGAGACCCAGAACATCAACTTTTGGCTCTGGACGTGGACATGGAATCCGAAAAAGGGGTCCGAGCTCCAAAAGGAAATTTATAGTGGCTAAACCCTAAGAAACTCTACAAGCCAAGTATACATGGTTTGGATTTTGTTCAACCTTTAACAAAAAAAGTGAACAAAGGATATCCCCCTCAAGGGGACCCCCTCCCGTCGGTTTGTTCCGGGGAAGCTGCGACTTTGGTGAGCCACCCCCCATTTTCCCAGAGATAGTTGGAAGTGAGTGTATCCAATGGCATGCCATTGAATGTTGGATGGGTCTTGTTTTAGGAAACTCCCTTTTGTGATTGTATTCAAGGGGAAACCAAAAGGAATCCCACCATTTTGTAGGGTTTAACGAGAATTTTGAGGGGTACCTTGTGCACCCGCCCGGTTCAGGGATCGTCGAATCCCTGATGAATCACTGTTAGGCGCGTTGCATTTGTGCGACCCTTTTGGGAAAGGCCCCCCAAAAAAAGAGGAAAGGGACAGGACTTTCTGGGAATCAGTCCGATGGCCCGCCAAAACACGTGTTCCATCTGGTCTCAAAACTCGGGGCTTCGGTTTGTGTTCTTGGTTTCCCTGTACACCGACCCCGAAAAGGGTGCCTTCAAAAAACAAGCCACCCGTATGGTTGTCTCTTTTTGTCGCCAAACTCTGCGCCGTGCCCGGCGGGGTTTGGAAGAACCCGGAAAGTCAAGTTGGCATTTTCGGCTGTGTGCCAATATGGAAGTGGTGTATATATATATATATATATGTATATATATATATTATGTATATATATGAAGCCTCCATAACTCCAGAACCCATACCTAAGCTGCCCTTGAGGAAGGGGCTTGGATCCTACTGTGGATGGTTGTGAAAATCCATTTCGAACCACAGTTCACTGATGATTCCCCCAGAAATACCAACTACCATGGCTCCAGCATGGTGCGAGTGCGCATTTCTTCCCAAACCCTAGGGAAGGCACCTGGATGTCAACCATGGTTTCAACTCGCACGTGTTTAGGCCGTTCGGTATGGCTCAGCTATGGGAAATCAGCCCAAAAGGGTTCAAAACGGCCATGTTGTCCCCAGGGCAGCCCCCCAAAAGACCAGAACCCCATCCGCGACTCGTCTTCCGAACCAAGCGCGCGGCACGGGAGGGCTTCTCATCCTGACGAATGGATGGAGACGGAATCCAGAAAATTGGACGAGGGTGGGTGAGCACTTGGGCGGGTTGATTGCTTGCTTGCTTGCTTGATTGCTTGATTGCTTGACTGCTTGATTGCTTGATTGCTTGACTGCTTGACTGCTTGATTGCTTGATTGCTTGATTGCTTGCTTGCTTGATTGCTTGATTGCTTGCTTGCTTGCTTGCTTGCTTGCTTGCTTGATTGCTTGATTGCTTGATTGCTTGATTGCTTGATTGCTTGCTTGCTTCCTTTCTTGCTTGATTGCTTGATTGCTTGATTGCTTGATTGCTTGATTGCTTGCTTGCTTGCTTGCTTGCTTGATTGCTTGATTGCTTGATTGCTTGATTGCTTGATTGCTTGATTGCTTGCGTGCTTGCTTGCTTGCTTGCTTGCTTGCTTGCTTGCTTGCTTGCTTGCTTGCTTGCTTGCTTGCTTGATTGCTTGATTGCTTGATTGCTTGATTGCTTGAATGCTTGAATGCTTGCTTGCTTGCTTGCTTGCTTGCTTGCTTGCTTGCTTGCTTGCTTGCTTGCTTGCTTGCTTTCTTGATTGCTTGATTGCTTGACTGCTTGATTGCTTGCTTGCTTGATTGCTTGATTGATTGATTGCTTGATTGCTTGCTTGCTTGATTGCTTGATTGCTTGCTTGCTTGCTTGCTTGCTTGCTTGCGTGCTTGCTTGCTTGCTTGCTTGATTGATTGATTGATTGCTTGATTGCTTGATTGCTTGATTGCTTAATTGCTTGATTGCTTGATTGCTTGATTGCTTGCTTGCTTGATTGCTTGCTTGCTTGCTTGCTTGCTTGCTTGCTTGCTTGCTTGCTTGCTTGCTTGCTTGCTTGCTTGCTTGCTTGCTTGCTTGCTTGCTTGCTTGCTTGCTTGCTTGCTTGCTTGCTTGCTTGCTTGCTTGCTTGCTTGCTTGCTTGCTTGCTTGCTTGCTTGTGCTTGCTTGCTTGCTTGCTTGCTTGCTTGCTTGCTTGCTTGCTTGCTTGCTTGCTTGCTTGCTTGCTTGCTTGCTTGCTTGCTTGCTTGCTTGCTTGCTTGCTTGCTTGCTTGCTTGCTTGCTTGCTTGCTTGCTTGCTTGCTTGCTTGCTTGCTTGCTTGATTGCTTGATTGCTTGATTGCTTGATTGCTTGATTGCTTGATTGCTTGCTTGATTGCTTAATTGGCGAAAGTAGTCAAAAGCGTAAAGGAAGGCCACAACAACAAAACAGCAAAATGGAGGAGAAATGGAGGAGGAGGAGAAGGAGAAATGGGGGAGGATGGAGGATGGAGGCAAAATGGAGGGGGATGGAGGAGGAGGAGGAGGAGAAATGCAGGAGGATGGAGGCAAAATGGAGGAGGAGGAGGATGGAGGAGGATGGAGGCAAAATGGATGGAGGAGGAGGACACATGGAGGAGCATGGAGGCAAAATGGAGGGGGATGGAGAAGGAGGAGGAGGAGAAATGGATAGAAATGGAGGAGGATGGAGGCAAAATGGAGGAGGATAAAGCAGGAGGAGAAATGGAGGAGGATGGAGGCAAAATGGAGGGGGATGGAGGAGGAGAATGGAGAAATGGAGGGGGATTTAGGAAGAGCAAAATGGAGGGGGGTGGAGAGGATGGAGGAGGAGGAGAAATGGAGGAGGATGGAGGCAAAATGGAGGGGGATGGAGGAGGAGGCAAAATGGAGGGGAATGCAGAGGAGGAGAAATGGAGAAGGATGGAGGCAAACTGGAGGGGGATGAAGGAGGAGGAGGAGGAGGAGAAGAAATGGAGGCAACATGGAGGGGGATGGAGGAGGAGGAGGAGAAATGGCGGAGGATGGAGGCAAAATGGAGGGGGATGGAGGAGGAGGAGAAATGGAGGAGCATAAAAAACAAAATGAAGGAGGAGGAAGGCAAAATGGAGGGGGATGGAGGAGGATGAGAAATGGAGGAGGATGGAGGGAAAATGGAGGAGGATGGAGGAGGATGCAAAATGGAGGAGGATGGAGGCAAAATGGAGGGGGATGAAAGAGGAGGAGGAGGAGGAGGAGGAGGAGAAGAAATGGAGGCAACATGGAGGGGGATGGAGGAGGAGGAGGAGAAATGGAGGAGGATGGAGGCAAAATGGAGGAGGATGGAGGAGGAGGAGAAATGGAGGAGGATGGAGGCAAAATGGAGGGGGATAAAGGAGGAGGAGAAATGGAGGAGGATGGAGGGAAAATGGAGGGGGATGAAAGAGGAGGAGGAGAAATGGAGAGATATGGAGGAGGATGCAAAATGGAGGAGGATGGAGGCAAAATGGAGGGGGATGGAGGAGGAGGAGAAATGGAGGAGGATGGAGGCAAAATGGAGGGGGATGGAGGAGGAGGAGAAATGGAGGAGGGTAGAGGCAAAATGAAGGAGGATGGAGGAATGCAAAATGGAGGAGAATAGAGGAGGAGAAATGGAGGAGGATGGAGGCACAATAGAGGATGATGCAGGAGGAGGAGAAATGGAGGAGGACGGAGGCAAAATGGAGGAGGGATGCAGGCAGAAATGGAGGAGGATGGAGGCAAAATGGAGGGGGATGGAGGAGGAGGAGGAGGAGGAGGAGGAGAAATGGAGGAGGATGGAGGCAAAATGGAGGAGGAGGAGGAGAAATGGAGGAGGATGGATGCAAAATGGAGGAGGGGGAGGATGGCGGAGGAGGAGAAATGGAGGAGGATGGAGGCAAAATGGAGGGGGATGGAGGAGGAGGAGAAATGGAGGAGGATGGAGGCAAAATGGAGGGGGATGGAGGAGGAGGAGAAATGGAGGAGGATGGAGGCAAAATGGAGGGGGATGGAGGAGGAGAAATGGAGGGGGATTTAGGAAGAGCAAAATGGAGGGGGGTGGAGAGGATGGAGGAGGAGGAGAAATGGAGGAGGACGGAGGCAAAATGGAGGGGGATGGAGGAGGAGGAAAAATTGAGGGGGATGGAGGAATGGAGGGGGATGGAGGAGGAGGAGAAATGGAGGAGGATGGAGAAAAAAATGGAGGAGGATGGAGGAGGAGGAGGAGGAGGAGGACGAGGAGGAGGAGGAGGAGGAGGAGGAGGAGGAGGAGGAGGAGGAGGAGAAATGGAGAGAAATGGAGGAGGATGGAGGCAAAATGGAGGGGGATGGAGGATGGAGGAGGAGAAATGAAGGAGGAGCAGGATGGAGGAGGAGGAGAAATGGAGGAGGGGGATGGAGGAGGAGGAGAACTGGAGGAGGACCACCTTCATGGCACGAGAAGTGCACGTGGTACGCAGAGAACACCAAAGTGTAAACAAGGTTGAAGGTGGATTCCAGGTTCAGGACAGGTTCAGCAACGCAGGTCCTCAGGTCCAAAAAATCCATCCTCTACATAACTCACGGCTCAGGAGCATATTTTCCATTTGGCTTGCCAAGTGGAAAGGCCGCCCAAGGGAAGTGGCAAAATAAGTATTCAAGCCTGCCACCTCGGTTAAATTTTCAGAGTGGAGTCTCAGAAGCAGCTCCCTGATTCATGACTGAAATTCGACTGAAATTGGATGAGGGGTGCATCCCCCTGCCGAAAGTCGGGAAACTTCCGCTAAACCCTAGAATTCAGTTTTTTCCCGAAACAAGGAATCCGCAAGGAAGAATTGGATCTGTACGGTGTTCCTTGGGAGGGCCGTTTTTTTTAAACCACTCTCACCACTGAGCTCAGAATTGCAATTCCTGCAGGGTTTAGTGGCCTGGAATTGGGTCTGCTGAAGCCTGCCTTTTTAAAGGTGCGAATTGGAAAATCGAGGTCCTTGTAGCAATGGTGTCCAGTTCAAGTGGGAATTCTTCACTTTTGGGGGGCCGGGGAAAATTCCGAATGTTGATTCATCAGTTGACATTCATTGGCCCCTGGGCTGCAGCATGGGGGGAAAGGATTTCCATCGGATCCTCATTCGCCCCGTTTCGCCGAATGCAAACAAAGTCTTAGGTCGTTTACAACATCCTTACCCTCCTGTCCACCAGCATGGAACCCACCAAAGAGTTCCTTTTTCAGGAAAATCGCCCTGCAGGACCCTCAGTCAGGTTCCATGGCACCGTGGATGGAGGGTAACGGCGGCATACTTCGACTGAAACGCTTTGGCACTTGGAACGTCGAGCCTACCCTCCCATCCACGTTGCCATGGAACCTGACTGAGGGTCCTGCAGGGCGATTTTCCTTCTAAAGACTCTTTGGTGGGTTCCATGCTGGTGGACAGGAGGGTAGCCGGCAAAGGAGGTCACCCATGCCCACACCTGGTGCAAAGTGGATTTTGTCCATCGACAATACTTGGCACGCCCGACTCTCAGTGGATTTCCGACAACTATTCAGGCACCCTTTTTTGGTAGCCGACTTTAAACAAACAAGTTGAAAAAAAGGTCACCACCGGTTTTCACAGGCGGCCTCCGTTTGCGATATTCGTCATATGGCAGAAACATATTTGTCCAGACGTGATGTTGATTCCCCTTGAAAACCAACAGAACATGAAAAAATACGCCCCGGTAGAATCCCCAACAGCCACCTGGAAGCGAATCTCCTTTTGAATAGCTGTCCAAAACCACCCCTTCTCGCGCCTATCTGGGCCTTTCGACTTCTAAGCTTCCAGCCGTGGGGAAACATATTCATTTCACCAAACGGAAGGCACAGAACCTTTGGGGACCTTCAGGTAGTCGCCTGAACCTCACATCGGTCACTATCGGGCTCGGGCCCATTTTTTGGGGGGACCCCCCCAAAAACGGCGGCTTTCCATATATTTTTATATATGTTTTTTTTGGGGGGGTCCTTTTGTGGAGACCACAAAAGGATGGGCGCCAACTCCAAAAAACACGGCGCCGTTTTTCGGCGGTCCTTGCGCGGGGCGGCCAAGCACCGGGACATGGCCACGCAGAGCTGAAGGCAGACCTGGAGACATGCAGCGCTCCTCAGATGTCCAGTGGATGAAATGGAAACCACTAAAAACCTAAGAAGCTACGGGACTTGCTGGGAGCCACCAAACAAAAAACCAAAAAAGCACAATCAAAGAATCAAACAATCAATCAATCAATCAATCAATCCATCCATCCATCCATCCATCCATCCATCCATCCATCCATCCATCCATCCATCCATCCATCCATCCATCCATCAATCAATCAATCAATCAATCAAGTCAATCAAGTCAATGAAACAAACAAAGAAACAAACAAAGAAACAACAAACACGCAAGCAAGCAAAACAAAGCAACACAACACAACACGACGCAACACAAAACAAACAATCAACCAACAAACCAAACAACTAGCAAGCAAACAAACAAACTAACAAGCAAACTGGCGTGTGATCCACTTGCCAACCTGTCTGACATCGGGCACTTTTTCGCGCATGTGAGTTCCTCTTCTGTTGGGGAAGCCTCAACAGGCCGCGGCCGAACGTGAGCCCTTGGCTGGTGAGTTAGGTGTCCCCCACGTGTGCCATGATCAAAACTTCATTTCTATGGCCGATTGGGTCATGGTTCCCTTGATTGAAACCAATATAAATTATAATGGTTGGTACTTTCGCATGGAACCTGAGCCATGAGGGATCCCCCTGAACTGTTCTATGTATTTATTTTGCCTGCTGTGGGGTGGACAAACTCCTGTTCGCAACAAGGGAGGGGGAGGGAGCCCAGAGTAGCCCTTACTAAGCCCTGAATAAAGCCTTGATTTGGCCTCCCTCTTCCTCGCCTCCCTCCCCCGCAGGCCCTATAATATGGCGTCGTCCAAAAGCAACTTCATTCCAGGCGATTTGTATTGACAAGCAATCAGTTGGTCCCAAATGTCATTCAGTCCGAGTTGCTTAACTGACAATGGGCATATGTCTGCAATCATTGAAGTCAAACCTAATAATCTACTACCAATTCAGTGACACAAATGTTGGTACCAAGCATCCAGTTGCACTTGTCCATTCCTTGGCCCAAATCCAGGGTACCCCACGAATAATACTGTGCTGTTGTTGGACCACATGAGCAACTGACAAAACAGGGGTCAGTAGATGTCCCTTTCAAAAGTTGCGATTTACTGGTGTCCCTTGAAACTGCACACTTTTGGAGCCCTGCAAAATAATTGGTAGTCTACTCGCTTGGGGAGGAGAAGGGGGCACCAAATGAGCCTGGACGCTCGGGCGCGTGCGATGCTTTTCGAGGCAGGGCCAAAGGCGTGAGCCGGCGGTGCAAGCCTGTCCCAAGCCTGGGCTGTCCGTTTTCTGATCTGCTAAAAGTGAATAACTTGTGGGCTCCCACTCAACCACATTTGACAAACAAAAATCAGGAACCGACTAAACCTACCAAACTAAACCAATTACCGGTGAAGCAATCTAAAGACCTTTCAGGAACCAAATGACCGAAGGAGCCTCCAAGCTCTTCGTTTTGCCAGGCAACCAGTTCGGCGGTGACACTTCACGTTTCCCTAGCAGGGTGGTCCATGGAATTTCAGAAAACAAGTTCTCTTAAGGAATACCAAGGGTACCCTCTCTTTTGGTGGCTTTAAAGGAAAACCACCATACACTTTTTCTTTCTGGGGGGTCTCCTTAAAAGGCACACCCATTTCTTTGCCCTTGTGTTTCCGCCCTCCAAAAGTTCGACAAACCGGTTGCACGGGCTCGAACCCCCGGGAAGTGTGACTGAGTCTCCATCCCGAAGCCCATGATCAAAGCGGCACATGCGCCGTAAGAAAAGGTTGGAGCACGTGTCTCAGGGAGCTGAAAAAAAGGAGGCGGTGCCCTTTGACCAGCCCCCTGGAAAAATTAAAGAAAAGCATCCTTTTCGTGAGATCGATGTCCTTTAAACCAACAAGGCGAAAGATACAAAAATGTCTTCATTTCGGCAGATAAAAAGCTGTTCGTCCGCATCTGGGCGGGTCTAAACTCCATGTAAAGAGCGGAGAGTTGGGCCCGAGAATTTCGCCCGTGAGCGCCACTTACTTTCAGAGATGCTCATATCTCAGTTGGGGTTCCTTTTGGACCCCAAAGGGCTGATTTCCCAGAATTCAGCCGGAACCAACGGTCAATTTACCCACGAACTAGAGGGTTCATACCAGTTCATATATGGGCGTATACATTCAGCCTTTGAAAAAGAGATATCAAAGAGGCCCAAGCTGTTTTGACGAGCCTCAAGCAGGCAAAGATTCTTTGCAGAAGTCTTCCTGACTTAAATGCAATTCGCCCGGGCTTAGCCAGTGTCATTCCCAGCAGGATATTTCGGGCAAATCACTACTCACTTCCCTTTGGCCAGAAAAAGTCTGTCGTTTTGGGAATACCCTCCTGTCCAACATGATGTCCAACAAAATGGATTCCCCGAAGCAAGTAACCCCCCATTTGGATGTCTTTTTTAGGGGGGCCCAAAATTGGTGGCTTTCCTTTTGGTGTCCCTTTAACACAACAAACAAGTACCCTCAAACAAAGACACCCATTTCAGGGTTTGTGCAATTGAAAGATTTGAGGACGCAACCTGGGACCCGCACCGGTTGCCACACACGCACACACCAAATGGGTATATGTGTTCTAAGGTTGGGCCCACAAAACGGGTTGTGGTCCTTTTGGGTTTCCCTGAAAAACAACCAACAGGACGTTCAACTTCAAAAAAAGACACACACCAAATGTGCCCTCTAGGGAAGACATGCAAACGAGCACCTTCGAAGGCCCTGCCAGACAACGCGACAGAGGTTCGATGATTTGCTGTTGTGGTTTCAACTAGCACAAAACAAAGGGGTCAACCAACAAGTGATGCTCGAGACCACGCGGACCGCGGATGAATCTGCAGGTCGAATTAGGGAGTATTTCCGGTTCTGTTGACCTGTGTCATAAGGATCCCACCTTACCTTCTGCCCACCAAACATCTCCCATGTCTCCAATTGGGACTCCAATCCGAGGCTCTGAAAGGCTTCCTCGTCTTATGGGGAATCTGGATACCTTAAGCTGCGTAGCTCCGCTCCAACCACCAGCTGGCAAAGGGGGTCAACCTATCCGTAAACTTTAAGACAGACCCAGTCGATCAGAAAACATGGCTAGACTTCCTCGATTTGTTCGAGCCTCTGTGCTGTTGACCGCTCCACGGTCTCGCATGACCAGACATAGAGCGTCAGCTGAGACATCACTTCAAAGATTAAAGCGTCAGCTCTCGCCCGTACGGTGCAAGTACTGCACACTCAACAGAGCCCTGGTCAACTACAGCCATTCATCTGCCCCCCCGAACACGGTATTAGAGATTCCGAACATTGGCCAGTGAACCAACCACATCCAACCAAAAGACCATAGTAAAATGGCAGTAAATGACTATCCATCCGAAAGAAAACCCTACAACATGACATATGGCTATGAATTTCAAGAGTCGGAACCACCTCCCAAAGTGGTTGGTAGACATCTTGCTCTACACCTAATTAATGTCTACAGGGTCGCCTATTACATTGCAGTCTTGGAGACGACACCTCCCTCCAGATACACGTCAACCTGGTAATCCCAAAACATTGCATACTCCCGGACAAACTTACGTATACGGAACCACAAACATGCGCATATTTGGACTCCTTGGAATCTGAGTTTGCACCGCGCGCAGCTCTCAGCCCGGCATTACCATCATCATCAGCGCGGTCGCTGATGGCCAAGAGGTTCGGTTTGGCGGCCGTACAGCCGCCACGCAAGCCAAGCTTGTCCAAAGCCCCGCCTTTCCAGCCAGGAGAGAGTAACTAATCAGCTGACCCAATAGGCCCTTGGTGCTGAAAAACCTGAGGCACAAGAAGCGCCCCAGCTTCTCAGGCCACCTTGCAGAAAAAAAAAAAAACAAAGAAGCTCAAACAATGGGAAATACTGAAATATCGGCTTCCCTGAGCCAAATCGGTTTGGTCAGGGTTCCAAGAATTTCAAATCCCCAAACCACGGGCTCCGAACCACTTCACGCCCGGAACCAAGATTGGTTTTGGCAGACCGCTAAAATGACCAGAACGCCAAACAAACTGATGAAAATACCAAACACTGAAGAACGTGCCAAGAAAAGAGTGCAGAAGCTAGGTATGATCACTCATGGTGTTGTGCACCATTCGAATTTCGAGGTGTCGGAGCTTCGCCTGTTGACCTGCAGACCTTCGGATAAAAGTTGGAAACCCACTGAGGTTTCGCAAGGGCAAAACGGTCACTGGGCAGCTCGTTTTCAGATCCCCTGCAAGTTCAAAACTTTCAGTTGCGCGGAAATTACGACCAAACCAACTTAAAAGGTCTAAAAACCTTTCTGGAACCGGATGGCTGGGAACCACCAAGGTTTATGTGAACTTCGGATAAATCCGGGGGGCCTTACTCAAAGGAACCCAAATAGATATCATGTCCTCACGAAAACAACACCCCGGAATCGTCCGGTCCTTCGAATTCATCTGAAGCTGACATTGCTTGTGCCAATGCCATCACTCAACTTGCTAGCTTCACACACAGAACCTCTGAAGGCTGGCGATGACACATAATATGGGCATGTCAAAATACGGGCCCCAAAAAGCGGTGGTTGTCCTTTTGCTTTCCCTTCAAGCCAACCTAGAAAGGGGACCTTTCGCCTCCAAACAACCACCCTGACAGCCTGAGCCACACCAAAAGGACATGCGTGCGGACTTTGGCAGGCTTGCTTGCCTGCTGCTTTTCTCCCACCACGCGAGGCGTGCTGGCACTGGTCCACGTCGCCCCGTCGACCGTCCATCCTCTGTCGGGTCGGAGGGCCTGACGTTCTGCAAGACTTTCATGGAAGCACCCTGAAACTTCGAGCTACCCTCCACCAATGAAGATGAAACCTAACAGGGGGGGGCCTGGGAATTTAGGGACCCCCGTCAGGTTCCGTGCTAGTTGGGAGGGTAGATTCCATGTCAATCTGCAGAGATCGAAAGCTGACG